TGGGTTGGGGGTGCGGGAGCAACACTTCGTGGTTTGGTACAAAGGTAATTTAAGTAATTACCTATTGTACTATAAAGTTATATATATGTTATGTTCGTCACCCTATGTAAGATTCTGAATCTTGTATTCTGTACTGTATTGTACTATAAAGTTATATATATGTTATGTTCGTAAACCTATGTAAGATTCTGAATCTTGTATTCTGTACTCTTTTCTGAATATTAAAAAGAAAGTCGCTGCTCTGCTCCCGAGTACGTAAAACCTCGTAAATCTCAGTGTGTTCTTCTGAATTTGTGTCGATTCTTATTTTTCTTCGTCCTAATTTCTCAACAACAAGTTTATCATGTTAGGCCGGAGATCTTTAATTGCTTGTTTTCTTACCGTAATTTTTATATTGTTCTCCTATCAATATCTATAACAATCATTTTTTAATTGATAGCCACAATTTTTCCCAAATGAGTATTCTTTTAGATGAATAATTACATCATTTTAGAAAAAAAAAATCTCTCTTAGATGTATAGTCACATTCTTTTACATATGAGAGATACTGACAAAGTAAGAGATTATTTGGGAACACTTTAATTTTTTATTTTTTAATTTATTTTTTGTATTATTTTTTAAAAATATATTTGTTTAGTACATTTTTTTTTTATTTTTTATATTAAAAAAATTATGATTTTCTAAAACATACTTCGAGCATTTAAATATTATTTTAAATGTATTTAAAAATAACTAAAACATGTAATAACATATCAAACATATTTTATTCCAAATAAAAATTAAAACAAAATAAATAAAAAATAAAAAATGATTCCAAACATCCCCTAGAACATATATAATTAGATAATTATCTTAATTTACTGGGTCACTTAAGTTATTAAATCAATTATTTTAATTAATTAAAATATAATTATAATGAGTAATAACCAAGCACAGGCTAAAAAATGAATGAAGAAAAGTATCTGAATATGATCTACCGATCCTGTGCAACAACTAAGCTAAGAGGAATGTATATATAGAATGAAAATTTTTCATTATTGTGTTTAAGGTGAAAATAAGGCTCACTATTCTTATTTGTCCCATTAAACTTCTTCATATGGGAGTAAAAAAATAATATTAATTAATATTGTTTCATTTTCTAATTAAATTCAAACTTAAATTAACAATTTATTTGATCATTATAAGCTCTGATTTATTTGAGCATAATAATACTAAAAATTCATTCAAAAGATTTTTTTTTCTTTTTATAATTTCTAGAACTTAATGGTAATGTGAATTAAACTTCTTCTCACACATTTATTTAGAGTAATGTACTAAAATAGTCCGGACAAATTACATGGGGTTATTTTAGTCTCAGAGTTTATAGTTTAAAATAATTCCCAGACTCTTCAAACTAGGACAGAAATAGTCATTATATATAGAGGACTATTAGATCTCAATTTTGGAAAAGTCGAGATTATGTAGATAACTCAATATAGAGTTGTTAACGATCTTATTTTGAGCCGAGGTAGGGCCGGCATAAAATCGGCTCGAAAAAAAATTGATTCAAAATTTTGGCTCGTAGTTTGACTGGTTTCTTTTGATCCAATTTCGATTCGAGCCAAAATTTGGATTAATTTTTGATTGATTAAAGATCTTTAACCTAAATTAAGAACCCTAGTTTATAAACACTGGGACTAAAATTATCTCAAGTAAATAGTTAAAGAATATTTTGGTAGTTTATTTATATAATAGTGTTATGAGTGAAGATTGATCTGGTGAGCAGCGGGATAGAGCATCTGACACCTCTGCGTAGGGTTGTGGGCGCTTAAGCGCTCAATTGGGTGCTGCTCGAACAGAGAAACAGATGCCTATGCACTGGTTTTGGGCTCAATTGGGTGCTGCTCGAACAGAGAAACAGATGTCTATGCACTGGTTTTGGGTGCATATGCACCCACATACATAGGTGCCAAGTTTGAGCGGCTATGCTCTAGGAGTGGTTGGTGATGGAAATTAATTTTTAATCTCGATTTCAATCGGCGTAAGATAGGGCTTGGTATATCTTCCTTCGGTACTTTTCGAAGAGCATCCCAGTGAAAGTGAGGAGTGTTGAAGATGTGGATTTTGTTTATTCAACATAATTTTTGTTTCGAATTGAAGAGAGAAGATTGTTGAGCGAGTTCTATAAATTTTTTTATTGTTTATGTGTGGAGAGAAAACTTGTTTGAGTTATATGTAAAATCATCTGAATTTCATAGTGAAAATTTATAGTGACGTGACTCCGTGGTTTTCCCTCTTCACGGAATTTTCCGCCTAAATTCTCGTGTATTTTTTTTTTGTTGCTTTGATTGTGTCTCTGTTTAAATTTTTGTTCCAATTTTTATCAAATTGGCGGCACGATCCCGTTATTTCGTAGCGTGGTTCAGTTTCTAATTGTTCTTAACCCCTGATAAAGTTGAAAATTATTCGTTGCGTTCATATCAAGCTGTTTAAATTTTTGTTCCAATTTTTATCAAATTGGGGGCACGATCTCGTTACGTCGTAGTATGGTTCAGTTTCTAATTGATCATAAAGTTGAAAATTATTCGTTGCGTTCTTATCAACTAGTGGTTTGCTAAATCCATATTTTACTAAAATATGTTATACATTTGTAATAAAATACTTAATATCTTCATTCCATTGCCACACAAATTTTAGCCACAAAAATATTGTTTAGGTCAATTTAATGAAATTTAATGCTTAAGTTGAATGTGCACAGTTTTTCCAAACATTAATTTAACTTGATGGACTTCAATTTGACGTCCTACAAATTGTTTATGAGTTCAACCGATAGCGTTGGTTCATCATATATAGCCTCATTAACAGCTCGCATGCAAAGTTTCAATGTCCTATACAATAGTATTTGGTACATATCAACCACCAAATCCTTCAAGCACTCCAATATTTTATTTATTTATAAGAAAATTTAAGTAAAATAAACAAATATAATATTATATTATATTTAGATCTAGGAAGATGGGAGTTATTATAAGGGTCTTATTAATTATTTATTAATTATTATTTTTTTTTATTTCTACTAGATGTAGGAATAAAACAAAACAATACCATTGATAAGTACACCAAGTGAGAAGGCCAGAATCATCAAATGTTTAATTTTTTTAATGTATTGGGCATATATATATGTATATATTAAAGGGGCAATATTACAAAATTACTTAAACAACAAAAGAAAAATACATATATATTATATTTTAATTATTATTTATATAGATAAATCTCAAATTTCAATGGAGCAACTGTCCTCTAGACACATAACCCAATTCTAATGATCCCTAGTTTGGAATGATGTTTGGGTATGTGCTACAACAAGAAGTACAACTAATTGTAGGGGCAATTGCACAACACCCCCCACTTTTTTCTATATTTTCTTAAATTATCACTCAAATAACAAAAAATATATCAAAACTATATTTTTTCGCTTGCATCAAATTCCTAACTAATTGAATTTGGCTAGTCCAAGTACAAGCTTTAGCACATATAATATACACACACGAGGTTTAGTTATCAACTTGACAAACATAATAGTAATTCAAACATAATAATAATTATTTATTTATAGTTTACCAATTATATTAAACTATTATTAATTGTGTGGCTGAGTATGATGGTGTGAGAATGGTTCTATTTTCTTTATTTAAAAAAAAAATAGAATGATAAATAGTTTAACTATGCATTTTTTAACCTTAGCTTTAAAAATTATGTAAGTTCTTTCTATTTTTTTCATAATTTTTGAAAAATGATTTTCTCTTATATTTTAAATAATGAGATATAAATTGTAAAATTTGTGGCTCAAATTCATGGAATTGGAAGTAATTAAAAATCTTCTCCTCTAATCATGGAGTCATGAATCCTTTCTTCATTCTCTCTCTCTCTCTCTCTCTCTCTCTTAATTTTTATTTTGTCAAATTATTCATCTATGAACTAATTAACAACTTAATAATAATAATTAAAAAACCCAAAAGTATTTAGAAGCTTCATTTCAAATTGGTGTAATCTTTTCTATGGCAATTAAAAAGAAAAAAAATAGATTTTAATTAGGTTTAAAGTTGAATAAAATTTAAAAATTATGTTTAACAAACTACTAAACATCTTGGTATCCTCAAAACATTATTTTAATCACAAATATATAAAATTTAAGATATGTAGTTAATAATTTATAGATACTAACTATTCTTATCTTGTCACAATAACTTGGTGAAAAGAAAAAATAAATTCTCTCATTCTTAAACTGATCTTACTTTCGAACTCCCAAAAATCCCAGGATGAGCATCACACAACCTCAACAATCAATAATGATGAATAGACCTATAAAAGATATATTTACATATATAAAGCATAATTGATTTATATTGAAGTGACTTTATAAATATTAAAATGAAAAAATATATATATATATATTGGATCTTCATGCCCTCACTCTTAATATCTCATTGATATTAGTCGTACAATAATACAATATCATTAAACTAAAAAAAATATTACGTCCGGATAACCAAACGTAAGAATGGCGTGGATCACACCACACCACATGCACATGTACTGGTGCGATTCACACCATCGTCCGGACGTAATACTTTCTCATAACTGGAAGTGTTATAAGAAAACTCCCATTTTTCTCCTAATTTTTGTTCCCCAACCTCACAACTACACGGCCAGATGCACAAGCTCCTACTAGTTAAGTATGGTATACAAACACGCAGGATACATGTGGTCATCTACAAGCTCATTAATACTAATGCCCTGCATGACTCTCGATTACTAAATGCACCCTATTTATAAAGACTACCAACTATGTCAGTTAACTTGTACAAAGCAGATGATAAAATAGAAGCAAAGCGAAAGGAACTCACACTGACACACTTCATGAATTATTGAAAATAGAACTTACTTTTTATTGCTGCTATAAAACTTTATTTAATATAGAGAAACATAAGATATATTGTTTCTTTAATTAGTCAGCTTCAAATAAAGTCCCATTCGAACATAGCCTGCCCGAGCTGAAGAATGCTGGTCTGGTTATGATGAGTCATCTCTGATCCTCCTCCTGAATGTGATCCCTCATTGAAGAAGTTTTGGTGGGGGAAGAACGTGTTGGAAGAGGAGCATGGAGATGTGAAGTGGCTTTGGAACTGTTGTTGATATTCAGAAGCTTTCTCTTCTGCTGACATAAAAGTGGAGACTTTCTGATGCTCATGAGTCGTCGTTGAAACACCAACTCCTCCGGCCAGCGATAGAGCTGAGCCAGTGGTACTGGTGAACTGAACCACTGCTTTCTTCTGCTGCACTTCTAAGCTCGCGTTGCCATCGCTCGGAATAGGTGGTGTGTTGTTGGACTTGACAATGCTCGCTATATTTAGATACAAACATACATTATTAGTACGTAACAATAATTTAGCATGCATAATATAACTTATCGGTTCCTGTTTATGCAATTTTTCTCCTTTTTTTTTTCTTCTCTTGAGATTCGATGAGAAAGTTACTTCATAATTCAAGTGTTAGAAGAAAATTTGATAAAAATGAGTAATTTATAACAAAAATTAAAAAAAAAAATTCTTTCCCATGCCAAATAAAAAACTTCAAGAGAAAAATTATAGTATATACTACGAAAAAGATTTTAATGAAAAAAATATCAAGTCTGTTCGACAGATGTGCAGATAATGATATGAATTGCATTACATCGCTGAACAATAAATAATACTCTGCACATTCAATTAATTATTTTTGTTGATCGTATGTAACTTAATTTGTATTAATGAAGTCATATGATTTACTAAAAAAAGTTCATTTGGGTTAAATATTAGTAATAATTAGCAGCAAAAAATTAATTAGGAGTAAGATTTATTACAAAGTTGCTTGCTGGTTTTTGCTCCTGATATTAGTTTGTTTTCTTCTTTAGCTTTGATGGTTGGAGCAATTGATGAAGATGAGCTACCCTTCGTCGTGGGCTGAGCCTGTGGCTTTCTCCGGCGGCGATTGTGTTCTGCGAGGCGCTTTCGACAGCTTCTCTTGCTGTCATCGAACTCAGCGAGGCCATGGAACCTGTAGGCCGTTGGAAGAAGATCAAAGAAGATAAGCAAACTAATTGGAGAATCATGAAGGAGAAATAAAACACTTCCATCTACAAGGCTTGCTCTAAGGAAATGCTAATTATCGTGTGAAAGTAAAGGAAATAATGGAGGAAAATATATTGGAGAAAATGAAAGGATAAAGATGGAGATCCATGCAGCTATATCTTGTATGTGTGGGTATTCATTTATCTTTTATGTGAGCGCTTCAACATCCCAAATTAGGGCACTTATATGTGTAAGAGAACAAATATTTGATCTTTGTTTAGTATTAAATTTAAATTAGAACCAAAATCTCCATGTTGTAATTCATGAAAGCATGCATAAACTATCAAAGATGTCACAACCAATAATTTCTATGAGACATATTGTTATAATTAATTTACATAGATTATAACATAAATGTACATAGTTAAATTTAAATAAAAAAACAAAAAATGGCACTACTGAGCAATTCTTTTATTGAAAAATTTAAATATTTTCTAATTTTGTTCATTTAAAAAAGTATATTTGAAGATAATTTATCAAGCATGATAAATATAGTCTGATGAGATTTAGCCTTGTATTGACAATAAATAGTTCCAATGTAATAATAAAGATTAGAGTAATGTTTTATTTAACAAAAAAAAATCAAGTAAATAAATAATTTATAGAAAAATGGAAGGATAAAATGTACTGAGTTAAAACTATTTTTTTTTTAAATAATTTATAGAAAAATGGAAGGATAAAATGTATTGAGTTAAAACTATTTTATTATTTTTTTAAATATGAGTTAATTTTGATTTATAATTTTTGGTGAACAAAAAAATTTTTTGGAAGTTAAAGCTAGTTCAAGAGTGAATGGAGTATCCAACCCATGAAGAGTGCTAAAATATTAATGGTGCAACTCTTGTGCAGATTGTATATGCGGAGTCCGACTATCCGTATATGCGGACAATCTTTGATATTTGAGCACGCCATCGTGTAAACTTATGAAGAGTAGCATGCTCGAACGAATCTCAACAGTTATCCGCACCTACAGATACGACACATAATACTCCCTTCCTGAGGAGGCAAACTTTCACCCTATGATTAACCTGAACAATTCTCAGTAGCTAAATAAAAAACTATGGGTTTCACCTGCACCAAAAACATGCATGATTTTGGACCACAATACATCCTAACATTATGATACACATCCATAAATAGATCTATCATTTTCATTAATTATCATTATACATGCCTATGCTTTGGATCTAATAATAGAAACTCAGGTACCTAATTGTCTAAAAAAAACCCTAGCAATTAAAAAAGATTGATCCATAAAGCCCTATATATTAACAAGAATTACAAGACTCAAAAACACAGTAGCGCAGACGTAAACAAAGATGAAATACATGCAAACAAGTAATCAACTTTCAAAAGAAATGAAGCATAGAGAAATTAAACTGATCATAAATGAACAAGCCATGAAATGAAACCTGCTACACTGTTGGCAGAACCTCTGTTGCACCCCTCCGGGGAAGAAGACGACTGGTGCCTTTGAGTGGAAATCACACACCTTATGCCTACGGTGGTAGTGCTTTGCACCGGAGAGGTCAGCTCGGCATCCCTCGGCCTGACACCTCGGCGGCTGATGGTGCGCCGACCGACCAAATAACATAAGCTGATGATCAACGGAGGAGAAGTAAGTTCGATGGCCAAGGTTGAGACCGATACGAGCGCCGGCCAACCCTCCGAAGCCAGTGGTGGCGAGACCATTCTCGAGCTTGAAGAAGCCGGAGGAGCGAGGGTAGTCGGAAATGATGGTGGTGGATGGTTGGGGCGGAGGAGGTGGTGGTGGGAAGTAGAAGGGAAAGGGGTTATTGGAGGGGAAGAGGGGAGGAGGAGGGGGGTCTAAGAGATCAGAAGGAATGGTGTGATTAGGGTAGAAAGGGAGGCTGTGGGAGGTGGAGGAAAAGGTATTAGATGAGTCCCAATCCCAAAGTTGATGCTTTTGGGTGTTCTGAGTACAGCCGCTGGCCTCTAACCCTACAAAGGACATGAAAGGGGAGGCAGCATAGGTTTCGGTGGTGTGAGATGAGTTCATCATCTTTTTGTGTGGAAAAGGAGCAGAGAGAGAGAGAGAGAGAGAGGAGGGAAGAATGGTACTAAGAAGTGGGAGCTAGGGTCCTTGGGTATGGGAAAAAGGTTCGGTGTGAGAAGGATTATATTGGGATGTGGTAATTAATGCGGGGGGAAGGGGACCTACTTCTTCTTCTATGACTTTACTGATGTTACCCAACACTTAGATACTTTAGCGGTGGGGAGAGAGGGGGAGGGAGAGGGAGAGGGGGGAGAGGGGGAGCTATTCCACCAAAGTTTGGGTTTTTTTTTTTCTTCAAAGAAAATTGCTTGAGAATATTGAGAAGTGTATTGCTATAAATATCATAAATAGAATGACTATTTATTAGTGATCAAATTATTTATTTTTGTATTATGAGTTGATGTTGCAAAAGTAAAATATTAATCTATTAAAAGAGATAAAATGATGGACATGATTTTTGTCCTATATAAAAACAAGAAGTCTAATTTTTAATTTTAAAATCAAAATTATTGTTATTCATATGCATGATAAGCATGAAATAAAACGATTATAATTCGCCAATTCAAAATGAGTTCATGGCATCTCTCACATAGATCATAGTTGTATATTGTCACCCTCTAGCTTAGTCAGCCTGTCCACTTTTTGAGTTCATGGCATCTCTCACATAGATCATAGTTGTACATTGTCACCCTCTAGCTTAGTCAGCCTGTCCACGTCGAGTTTGATCTTTAGTTTATCATCATCTTAGTTCTCAATATTGACTATTTTTCTTAAAGAATAGACCTGCTTTGTTGCAACACCTGTCGTCCCTTTCCCTCCTCTGCTCGATTAAAAGTTCAATGCTACATACAAATTGCCAACCTAAATTTTGAAATTTTCATTCTTCAGTTTAAGGTCAATGTGGTAACAAATTGAATTCCAAATCACATTACTATTTCAGTTTGATTCGAGCTATAAAGTATTTTCAGAGAACAGAAATAGGAAAGCAATAACCCATGTTACTATTTCATTTTTATGATCATAATGAATCAAGAATCAAACTATTCAAGCTTGTTTCTTAAGAGATTTGGAGTTGGGTTTTGAAGAATGAAAATTTCCAAAAATCAATCATTTTTTCTGAATAGATTATTATATATTCAAAATTTAGGATGTAACTTTAAAATTTTTTTCAGATAAATTTTGAGCTCTGGTGAATGTAATTTTAGCTCAGGTGAGATGTTATTCTCTTTCAATGATGTGTATTCTATGGATAGCTTGGCTAATGTGATGTTCGCTAGGATTGAGTGGCCTTCGATATACTTTCATGGTGTTGGATTGAATTTTATAGTGAAGTTTGGTGTTTCTGCTCTTATTTGGTTTGCTATTTGAGCTAGTTGTTGTTTCTAATGTTTAATTTATCGTTGATATGCTTACATTTCTTCCTTGATCATCACTCAATGCTATATTAGTTTTTTGACTTGTAATGAGTTCCAACATTCATTAAAATTTAACTAGTTTTGAACTTATTTTTTATATATTCAAAATTTAGGATGGAATTTTATTATTTTTCCATAGTTAAGTTCTGAGCTCTGTTTGGCTATCCTTCCTATCTTTGTTTTGGTGATTTGTTTGGTGTTTTTTCTTTCTTTTTTTTGATTTTTGTTGGATTGGTTTGTCTCTATGCTTCTTGTGCTTGTCTTGTTTGATTTGCTTTGCAAGACTATTGGTCTTTGAAAATTTCTTTTCTTCCTTTCTTCCATGCCAGGACAGATCAAAATTTAGTAGGATTGATCCACAATTCTATTTCACATGTAAGGTAGGTCTGTGAATTTATTGCTCAACGCTTTTAAAATTCATGTTATACATGTTCGGAACTTAGGACATTTAAAGTTTATGTTATATAGGGTATGTCAGGAATTTGGCTCGAACAACGACAATCACTCAAAAATTAATTTTAGATTGAATTTCTTTCGAACCGATTGAGATTGATTCAGATAAAAATCGGATCATTTAACATCATATTGATGTTAGGTATGTCAAAGATCGTTAATCAAAGTAACATTGATTTGAAAAATAGCAAAACATATAATTGAATTATGAATTAATGAATAGTTCAAATAAATAATTAGGTTTTATGGTGCTTGTCTATATTTAAGATAAATCTATTTATTAAACCTATTTAGAGTTATTTTCTTGAAAGAAGATGTTTCATATGATTTAAGAGTGTTCATTGTTTCTTCTATTGCAAAGTTTAAATTTCATTGCCAAAATGAAAATCCACTTTGAAATCTAATTTCTATTTCTAAAATGGAAATTCAATTTGAAATATAATTTCCATACCAATTAGATTTTGAAGTGATTTCCATTTTGGGAATGAAATTTAGATTTGAAAGTGAATCCCTATTTTGACTAAGGAAATTAGACTTCATGTTGGAGGATGCAATGAAAACTCACACATATGAAATACTTTCTACTAAGAATATATTTTGAGGTATGCAATTAATCACTTATGGGATTTGCGGCGGCAAGAATGCTTAGATTTATGATGGGCTTTCCACTTGAAATATAAAATGCTAATGAAATAAACTTGTGCAAGGTTTGGTGCAGCTATGATAACATACAAAATTAGATAAAAAAATTTGAAAAAGTTTTAGACCTATTATCGATCTTTGATAGCCATTAACATTCTACTTTCTAGCTGAAATTGGGTCGGATGGAAAGAAATTTGACCCAAAATTTTGGCTCGTAGCTCAACTCATTTATTTCGATCCAATATTTATCTGAGATAAATTTCATACCAATCAGTTTTAGAGTGATTAATGTTGTTCGAGCTATCTAAAATGTTCAATCCTTCTAATGATTTAATAACCATTTCTTATAGCTCCACAATTTTGTCAACTACTAAAATTAAATTCTATGTACTCATTTGAATGCACTTTATAATGTGTTGATTGTTGACAACCATGAGGTAAATATGAATATTTCTTACATCAATATTATAGATGAACAATAAACTTTATCCTTACAGAAAAGGGATCACTGAAGTGTCCTTGAAAGGTTTAGAGGTTTTTGTGGCTGCATCATTGCAACTTTCATCTTACCTATCTGAGGGTAGATTTCAATGTTCATGCTCAAAACACAGGAATCAAACACACTTAAACACCTGACAAAGTAAGATATGATTTATACTGTCAAGGGTTTCAGCCTGATTACTGAAATTGGACTTCACATGGGGAGGTTAACCCTGAAATATTCAACTCCAATTCTTCAACGAGATATGATCACTTATTATCCAAAATATTCAACTCCAATTCTTCAACGAGATATGATCACTTATTATCCACATTATTTTCAGCCCAGCTTATTTTTTCATTTTAAACCAATTAAAGCGGTTTCTTTACAGCATTTCGATGCTGCTACTTCTTTGGTAGATGAATTTTCTTTACACATTTAATATATTTGGCTAAAAAATATTATGTTTCAATGAAAAGAGGTGATGCTAAACACGCTCATAAATTTATTATTTTTAACGGAAAATGCCTTCTAGAGTACGTTCTTAAGTTTACTTCATGTCATGTCCATTGGCTGAAGCATGCCTCAACAACTTTGCATGGCAGCATGGCCCTGCATGGGCATGTCATTGAAGGTACAGCTCTGAAGGCTTTCAAAAGGCAAGATGACACAAGCTCGCACTTTCGGTCCAAATGAAGGCAAACATAATTTAAGAAAAATTAGTTCATGATATTATGAAACTAACTTTTTCATTTGACTTTTTTGTCTGCTTAAACCTGCAAGTCACTGTTGCATTGTTGACCTAGCAAAAGTAAATGTTTTATAATGTATTTTGGGTTTGTTTCATCGATAAATTAAAACACTACACTAACTGGAAAGGTTCTCCTAAGTAGT